AAGAGGACACAGGTGGCTGATGGAGACACATGAGGCAGGACCAGAGGACACAGGTGGCTGATGGAGACACATGACACAGGACCAGAGGACACAGGTGGATGATGGGGACACATGAGGCAGGACAAGAGGACACAGGTGGCTGATGGAGACACATGAGGCAGGAACAGCGGACACAGGTGGCTGATGGAGACACATGAGGCAGGACCAGAGGACACAGGTGGCTGATGGAGACACATGAGGCAGGACCAGAGGACACAGGTGGATGATGGAGACACATGAGGCAGGACCAGGGGACACAGGTGGATGATGGAGACACATGAGGCAGGACCAGAGGACACAGGTGGATGATGGGGACACATGAGGCAGCACCAGAGGACACAGGTGGCTGATGGGGACACATGACACAGGACCAGAGGACACAGGTGGCTGATGGAGACACATGAGGCAGGACCAGAGGACACAGGTGGCTGATGGAGACACATGACACAGGACCAGCGGACACAGATGACAATATCTGTGTCTCCAGACAAGGAATCAGACGGTGTGGTGCAGCGTTCCCCCGCCAAGCCTCACCACAGGCACCAACTCCTCCCAGACGGCGAAGACCACTACCAACAGGCAGCCAGGGACACGGAGACTAAGCACGTCGTACCACATCGACAATAACCAACTCAATCAACTTATTTAAAAATTTCAAAGCAAACATTTCCTGCTGTTAGTACACTACCAAATGAGTGGCAGATGAGACGTTTGAAGTCTCTCGGAAAAAAATTGTTGATCATAAACTATGAAAAGCTGACACCGCTTGTTACGGACGGGTTGCGGCGTGACAACGGCAAATGGCTCTGGTTTCCTGCCTTGGCTAGACAGAGAGGTCGTGGTGGATGACCTCTGGTGAGGGGGCGGGTCAAGATCAGCGCCACCTAGGTTGTGTTACGTGCATAACGTCAACTCCCCAGTGAGTAAGTGTTATCTCCTGGTTTCCCCAGTGTACTGTCCCAATTAACTAATGACGTGTTATGACCACAGAGGTGACGTCTGGAGGCTGTGGTACTGAAGAAGACAGTTTACCTTGGGTAGTCTAAGTTCACTCAACTTAGTCCTGGAAGACGACTAAGCAAGTCGCCGCCGCCGATGCAGTCTCCGTGGTGTAGTGGTAAGACACTCGCCTGGCGTTCCGCGAGCGCTATGTCATGGGTTCGTATCCTGGCCGGGGAGGATTTACTGGGCGCAATTCCTTAACTGTAGCCTCTGTTTAACGCAACAGTAAAATGTGTACTTGGATGAAAAAACGATTCTTCGCGGCGGGGATCGTATTCCAGGGACCATAGGATTAAGGACTTGCCCGAAACGCTACGCGTACTAGTGGCTGTACAAGAATGTAACAACTCTTGTATATATCTCAAAAAAATCTGAAGCAGTGTGGTGACCGCTGGTCACGTAGTGTTGGAAGCCATCGGTGTGCCCGGGACTGGCTTAGGAGAGACAAGGACGACAGTGAGGTGTGTGTTGGGAAGCGCTGCTAGCCGGCCGCTAGAGGGTTCTGCCAGGGGTACGCTACCCCTGTATTGGTTTTGTGACCCTGATCAGCGTGTGGCTCAGGTCCTCTGCCCAACTCGTCCTCTTAAAAATAACGTCACTTTTGGCTGGTATGCGCTATGGTCAAAAGTGGACGTAATTTGAAATGAAATAGACTCACAAAAGTGACGTACTGTCCCGTTTTCTGTTTGAGTCGTCCGGCTTACTCGGAAAGGTTAGGAGAGGAAACTTTCAATTTACGGTTTTCATAACTTTTGACACTTTATGAGAATTTCCTGCCCACCTAACCTGCCAGAGGACCCTTAACTAACTGTTGTTGAAAAAAAAAAATCCCAAATTTATTATCATTTTTGTTCATTTTCAAATTACGTTCACTTTCGGCCATACTGGCAAACGGCTAAAAGCGACGTTATTTTTAAGAGGACAGGTTGAGCTGAGGGCCTGGAGAGTGGTCGTGGGGTGTAGGCACCTCGTGCTACTGTGTCGGTGGGCTGGCCCAGGTACAAGGTGAACTCGCCAGTGTTTCCCAGTACGGTTGGACAAGGTACTGGGTGAGAGAACCGCTGTTTTTATTATTTTCTACCACAGACGTGGCCACACATTTACAATGCTAACCAGCATATATACATTTTCTTCTGTCCTCCATGGACAGGGTTAGAGATCAGTTAAACATAGAGTTCAAGGGTTTATTGAACACTCAACCACAGAAGGTGATTCGGTGCTTTTAAAATGCTAAGCTAGCCTGCAACAGGTACTCTGAGAGAGAACTCTATCAACATCAGAGGTCCGAGACTGTTCAACACGCTTCCGCTACACATAAGGGGCATAACTGGCCGACCCCTCACAGTGTTCAAGAGAGAACTGGATAAGCACCTCCAAAGGATACCTGATCAACCAGGCTGTGACTCATACGTCAGGCTGCGAGCAGCCGCGTCCAACAGCCTGGTTGATCAGTCCAGCAACCAGGAGGCCTGGTCGACGACCGGGCCGCGGGGACGCTAAGCCCCGGAAGCACCTCAAGGTAACCTCAAGGTAAGGGTACATACGTAAATACATAGATACACAGATTTACGTATGCCCTACATAAAGTGTTTGATGCGTCTTTTACATAGTGTCATTAATGTACATTCACAAAGGTGAAATGTAATTCTGATCAGCTTCCATATATACTTTATACACATACATATACATACATACATATACATACATATACATACATACATATACATACATATATACACACACATGCATTCACATACATTTGTCTCATTTACTCTGACAGGGTGAGATAGCTGATAAAGAAACTAGTGTGCAATTAAGCACTTAATCACTGAAGGTGCTTTTACAAGCTCTGGTTATATAGTTACATCATATATTTACATTGTATAATTGATATATTACATGGTCAATCTTGGATACAAGTCCAATGTATCATAAAGTGTTCCAGTACTCGTATAGTAACTACAGAGTTCAGCATACCTTAGCCCAGGGGGGCGAAAGTCAGTCAATATGGGACATTCTACAATATAATGTTCAAGAGAGTGCATGTTTTCTCTTTCACAAAATTGACACATTGTGTACTCGACATTTGGGTTTTGAGAAAGCTGCCAGATACGTCTATATCCCAGGCGTATTCTGGCCACTATAACATCACATTGCCGGGTTCTTGTTCTATTAGTCCCATATGTGAATGTCTCCTCACGATATCTATCATAATATTTAATGCTACAACTTTCAGGTCTTTGTGAATTTGTTAGGTCGGTGAGATCTTCATTAGATATTTGTTTAAGTATTCTCTCTGTCACAAGCGCTGTGGTTGGTGAACACTGCATGTCGGCGTCCGGTGTCCTCAGTGAAGAAGATACCGATGTACATAAGAATAGTAAGTCCTAGAAGTAAGTAACAATAATAGTAAGAATATAGTTAGAATATAGAATAATAATAGTAAGAAAAAGAATAGTAAGAATAAGTAAGTAATTTAAGGGTTTAAGTGTAAATATATTGGTGAAGGTTATCTTGAGGTTATCTTGAGGTTATCTTGAGATGATTTCGGAGCTTTTTTTAGTGTCCCCGCGGCCCGGTCCTCGACCAGGCCCCCCACCCCCAGGAAGCAGCCCGTGACAGCTGACTAACACCCAGGTACCTATTTACTGCTAGGTAACAGGGGCGTAGGGTGAAAGAAACTCTGACCATTGTTTCTCGCCGGCGCCTGGGATCGAACCCAGGACCAGGATCCCAGGATCGAACCCAGGATCACAAGTCCAGCGTGCTGTCCGCTCGGCCGACCGGCTCTCTATTCCCGCAATAGTGTCTTGTTTATACAATTCTCTACGGCACCATATAGCACATTCTTGAAAGCGCACTACCGACTCGGGGTCGGATACACTTAAGAGTTTATACAGAAAGAACCTGGTTACTGGTCCATGGTGAGCGTAACACTGGTGCTAGTGTTGAGTGTGTAACACTGGTGCTAGTGTTGAGTGTGTAGCGAACACTGCTGCTAGTGTTGAGTGTGTAGCGAACACTGGTGCTAGTGTTGAGTGTGTAACACTGGTGCTAGTGTTGAGTGTGTAGCGAGTGAAGATGCTCTTGGAACATTGTACTAGCATATTTGTGCTTGCGGGGGTTGAGCTCTGGCTCTTTGGTCCCGCCTCTCAACTGTCAATCAACTGGTGTACAGGTTCCTGAGCCTATTGGGCTCTATCATATCTACACTTGAAACTGTGTATGGAGTCAGCCTCCACCACATCACTGCCTAATGCATTCCATTTGTCAACCACTCTGACACAAAAAAAAATTCTTTCTAATATCTCTGTGGCTCATTTGCGCGCTCAGTTTCCACCTGTGTCCCCTAGTGCGTGTGCTCCTTGTGTTAAATAGTCTGTCTTTATCTACCCTCTCAATTCCTCTGAGAATCTTGTACGTGGTGATCATGTCCCCCTTAACTCTTGTCTTCCAGCGACGTTAGGTTTAATTCCCGTAGTCTGTCCTCGTAGGTGACGCCGTGAATGCTTCACATCTATAGAGAACTTGTTCAATGTTGTGTTCTGTATATTATTTAGCTGAGAATAACAGACCAAACTCTGATCACTTTGGCTTACTGCAACTACAAAAGCAAAATGGTGTTGACATGTTAATGGGGCAGCATTCCCGCACTTGTGCCACAGAGATAATCACATAGCCATTAATGTGAACAATAAAATTTGCCGGCATATCAAGCGGGTAAATCGTAACATTTAAATTCTCACTGATAAATCGACAAGCCTGAGCATTAAAACAACCTTAGATGTTTGTTAGTTTAAATGTGACGGTGATAAGGAAGTTAATCCCCCATTTCATGTTCTTGGATGTAAGTGAACTACTCATCAGAGAGCAGCAACTATTGCCAGGCCTCTTGTGAGCTGTCTCGGTGATCATGGGTTTGATGACTATATATATTTATTTATACATGAGTTTTGTACATTCTTGTACAGCCGAGGTTCTGTTATGTTCTTGCTCCGTTCTTTTATATCTGAAACAGAACCTTGTAGCATTGGCTGGTGATGGGTCAAGTGTCATGCTGGGTGACACATTGGCTGGTGATGGGTCAAGTGTCATGCTGGGTGACACATTGGCTGGTGATGGGTCAAGTGTCATGCTGGGTGACACATTGGCTGGTGATGGGTCAAGTGTCATGCTGGGTGACACATTGGCTGGTGATGGGTCAAGTGTCATGCTGGGTGACACATTGGCTGGTGATGGGTCAAGTGTCATGCTGGGTGACACATTGGCTGGTGATGGGTCAAGTGTCATGCTGGGTGACACATTGGCTAGTGATGGGTCAAGTGTCATGCTGGGTGACACATTGGCTAGTGATGGGTCAAGTGTCATGCTGGGTGACACATTGGCTGGTGATGGGGCAAGTGTCATGCTGGGTGACACATTGGCTGGTGATGGGTCAAGTGTCATGCTGGGTGACACATTGGCTGGTGATGGGTCAAGTGTCATGCTGGGTGACACATTGGCTAGTGATGGGTCAAGTGTCATGCTGGGTGACACATTGGCTGGTGATGGGTCAAGTGTCATGCTGGGTGACACATTGGCTGGTGATGGGTCAAGTGTCATGCTGGGTGACACATTGGCTGGTGATGGGTCAAGTGTCATGCTGGGTGACACATTGGCTAGTGATGGGTCAAGTGTCATGCTGGGTGACACATTGGCTAGTGATGGGTCAAGTGTCATGCTGGGTGACACATTGGCTAGTGATGGGTCAAGTGTCATGCTGGGTGACACATTGGCTGGTGATGGGGCAAGTGTCATGCTGGGTGACACATTGGCTGGTGATGGGTCAAGTGTCATGCTGGGTGACACATTGGCTGGTGATGGGTCAAGTGTCATGCTGGGTGACACATTGGCTAGTGATGGGTCAAGTGTCATGCTGGGTGACACATTGGCTGGTGATGGGTCAAGTGTCATGCTGGGTGACACATTGGCTGGTGATGGGTCAAGTGTCATGCTGGGTGACACATTGGCTAGTGATGGGTCAAGTGTCATGCTGGGTGACACATTGGCTAGTGATGGGTCAAGTGTCATGCTGGGTGACACATTGGCTGTGATGGGTCAAGTGTCATGCTGGGTGACACATTGGCTAGTGATGGGTCAAGTGTCATGCTGGGTGACACATTGGCTGGTGATGGGTCAAGTGTCATGCTGGGTGACACATTGGCTGGTGATGGGTCAAGTGTCATGCTGGGTGACACATTGGCTGGTGATGGGTCAAGTGTCATGCTGGGTGACACATTGGCTGGTGATGGGTCAAGTGTCATGCTGGGTGACACATTGGCTGGTGATGGGTCAAGTGTCATGCTGGGTGACACATTGGCTGGTGATGGGTCAAGTGTCATGCTGGGTGACACATTGGCTGGTGATGGGTCAAGTGTCATGCTGGGTGACACATTGGCTAGTGATGGGTCAAGTGTCATGCTGGGTGACACATTGGCTGGTGATGGGTCAAGTGTCATGCTGGGTGACACATTGGCTGGTGATGGGTCAAGTGTCATGCTGGGTGACACATTGGCTGGTGATGGGTCAAGTGTCATGCTGGGTGACACATTGGCTGGTGATGGGTCAAGTGTCATGCTGGGTGACACATTGGCTGGTGATGGGTCAAGTGTCATGCTGGGTGACACATTGGCTGGTGATGGGTCAAGTGTCATGCTGGGTGACACATTGGCTGGTGATGGGTCAAGTGTCATGCTGGGTGACACATTGGCTAGTGATGGGTCAAGTGTCATGCTGGGTGACACATTGGCTGGTGATGGGTCAAGTGTCATGCTGGGTGACACATTGGCTAGTGATGGGTCAAGTGTCATGCTGGGTGACACATTGGCTGGTGATGGGTCAAGTGTCATGCTGGGTGACACATTGGCTGGTGATGGGTCAAGTGTCATGCTGGGTGACACATTGGCTGGTGATGGGTCAAGTGTCATGCTGGGTGACACATTGGCTGGTGATGGGTCAAGTGTCATGCTGGGTGACACATTGGCTGGTGATGGGTCAAGTGTCATGCTGGGTGACACATTGGCTGGTGATGGGTCAAGTGTCATGCTGGGTGACACATTGGCTGGTGATGGGTCAAGTGTCATGCTGGGTGACACATTGGCTGGTGATGGGTCAAGTGTCATGCTGGGTGACACATTGGCTGGTGATGGGTCAAGTGTCATGCTGGGTGACACATTGGCTGGTGATGGGTCAAGTGTCATGCTGGGTGACACATTGGCTGGTGATGGGTCAAGTGTCATGCTGGGTGACACATTGGCTGGTGATGGGTCAAGTGTCATGCTGGTGACACATTGGCTGGTGATGGGTCAAGTGTCATGCTGGGTGACACATTGGCTGGTGATGGGTCAAGTGTCATGCTGGGTGACACATTGGCTGGTGATGGGTCAAGTGTCATGCTGGGTGACACATTGGCTGGTGATGGGTCAAGTGTCATGCTGGGTGACACATTGGCTGGTGATGGGTCAAGTGTCATGCTGGGTGACACATTGGCTGGTGATGGGTCAAGTGTCATGCTGGGTGACACATTGGCTGGTGATGGGTCAAGTGTCATGCTGGGTGACACATTGGCTGGTGATGGGTCAAGTGTCATGCTGGGTGACACATTGGTGATGGGTCAAGTGTCATGCTGGGTGACACATTGGCTAGTGATGGGTCAAGTGTCATGCTGGGTGACACATTGGCTGGTGATGGGTCAAGTGTCATGCTGGGTGACACATTGGCTAGTGTGTGGCCAGTGGCCGTGTTCTGGGGGCACCAGGTGGGCGGCCAGCACCAGGTGGGTGGCCAGCACCAGGTGGGTGGCCAGCACCAGGTGGGCGGCCAGCACCAGGTGGGTGGCCAGCACCAGGTGGGTGACCAGCACCAGGTGGGCGGCCAGCACCAGGTGGGCGGCCAGCACCAGGTGGGTGGCCAGCACCAGGTGGGTGGCCAGCACCAGGTGGGCGGCCAGCACCAGGTGGGTGGCCAGCACCAGGTGGGCGGCCAGCACCAGGTGGGTGACCAGCACCAGGTGGGCGGCCAGCACCAGGTGGGCGGCCAGCACCAGGTGGGTGACCAGCACCAGGTGGGCGGCCAGCACCAGGTGGGCGGCCAGCACCAGGTGGGCGACCAGCACCAGGTGGGCGGCCAGCACCAGGTGGGCGGCCAGCACCAGGTGGGCGGCCAGCACCAGGTGGGCGGCCAGCTCGTTTCTAACAGTTCCAACAGTGTGGACAAATTATGAACCACTTTGTTTTCATTTTGTAAAAGCAGTGAGAGATGAAATATGATTTGGAAGTGATGGAGAACCAATGAAGGTCTGTTGGAAAGGCTCACGTCACAACAGTTGCTGTTGGATTTAGCTCTAATGTATGACACGTTGGATGAACTTGTTTACTATCAGTGTTACTACAACGACCCCATATATCTACATTATACCTATAAGGGAGAAAAACATTCTGCTTGTGTTTTCTAAGTTGGAGGCCAGACGCTTGGGGCTAGCGTCACCCACACTGACAGGAGACTGGTCTGGGGTCTGGGACGAACATAGGCTGCTGGGGTCGCCAGAATTTAAGAAAGGAAGAGCGTGCTGGGGTTACATTCACACCACCATTCTCGCCACTGGCTGCCGGCTAACATTAAAATATTTTGAAAAATCAAGTCGGTTTATATATTATGCAAATTTATACATTGATAATTGAATATAATTCTGATATTCATATTTCGGCCGTAGTGTGATAAAACATGTAAGTTAAGTACCCCACCACTCCTACTGCCCCACCAACGGAGGGCGGACACTCGCACACATACACATGTTGTTGTTGTTAAAGATTCGCTACTTGGAACAAGCAGTTCCAAGTAGCACGGGCTATGGTGAGCCCGTAGACACATACACAGAATGTGGGTAACTATTTTATTTTAAACATTCCAAAAAAAAAATGTTTTCTTACTGTAATATAAAACATCATTTATTAATTAGAGGAAAATATAGACATTTTTTGCTATTCAAACTTGAGCCGTTCTACCATAAACTCAGGTTTTCATGCCTCGCCTCGCCTCAGGCCGCAGCCTACTGCTCTTGGCTCTAACCTCTCACAGCTGCTGTTTAATTTGAAAAAAGAACAAATATCAAAATTTCATTTATCGAAAGAAAGAGAAAAGAGTGAAGGGGAGGAAAATTGTCAGGGGAAAGCGCCAAGCCATCACGTGTGTGTGTAATTATATATATATATATATATATATATATATATATATATATATATATATATATATATATATATATATATATATATATATATATATATATATATATATATATATATATATATATATATATATATATATATATATATATATATATATATATATATATATATATATATATATCTCAATCACTGGGAAGGGGTCAGGATAAGGGTTTGGGATGGGACGGCGGGAAGGAATGGTGCCCAACCACTTGTGGACGGTCGGGGATTGAACGTCGACCTGCATGAAGCGAGACCGTCGCTCTACCGTCCAGCCCAAGTGGTTGGGTGAAAAAGAGATAGCAGTAGTAGCTCTAATGCTCTTATTGGTCGCCCGGATGGTATCACAGTGAACCCCTGGAAGAATGGCAAGCAGTTGGTATGGGACTACACGTGCGTATCAACCCTGGCTAACACCTACATTAACCTCAGTGTTGCACAACCAGGTGGCGCTGCCACTCACAGGGAAGCGGCTAAATCCCGTAAGTACAGAGAGCTGGATCACCACTACAATTTTGTCCCCATTGCTTCTGAGACACTCGGCGCCTGGGGTAAGAGTGCCACCAGTTTTTTGGATATAGACTAGAGAGGAGTGCCCCCTCTCTAGTCTATATTTTAAAAGAATTCCTGTCCGAAGTTGGAGGTCAGACGCTAGAGGCTAGCCTTCCCCAAATTGTCAGTGTGAGTGGTGTGGGGTGTGGGAGGCACATAGGCTGGTGGGGTCACACACGCTGGCCCCCAACACCATCCTTGGCACCGGGCGCCAGCTGCACAGTTCAATATTTTCAAAATAAACTTGCAAAGCAATTTCTTTCTGATAGTAATATACATCACTATTCACTGATTGCGGGATAGATGGATAGAGGGATTGGGAGGTGGACAGATAGATGGGCAAAGAGACGGACAATTAAATTGACGGATAGATTGAGAAATAGGTGTATATATGGCTGGATGGATGGATAAGACGATGGTATGAAGATGGATAAACAGATGGGAGACCCGGGCAATGCTGGGTACACCTTCCCCCTCTTGGTGTGTGTGTGTGTGTACTGACCTAATTCGCCTAATTGTACTCGCCTGTTTGTGCTTGCGGGGGTTAAGCTCTGGCTCTTTGGTCCCGCCTCTCAACCGTCAATCAACTGGTGTACAGGTTCCTGAGCCTACTGGGCTCTATCATATCTACACTTGAAACTGTGTATGGAGTCAGGCTCCACCACATCACTGCCTAATGCATTCCATCCGTTAACTTCTCTGACACTGAAAAAGTTCCTTCTAACGTCTCTGTGGCTCATGTGGGTACTAAGTTTCCACCTGTGTCCCCTTGTTCGCGTCCCGCCAGTGTTGAATAGTTTATCCTTGTTTACCCGGTCGATTCCACTGAGGATTTTGTAGGTTGTGATCATGTCTCCCATTACTCTTCTGTCTTCCAGTGTCGTGTGGTGCATTTCCCACAGCCTTTCTTAGTAACTCGTGCCTCTTAGTTCTGGGACTAGTCTAGTAGCATACCTCTGAACTTTTTCAAGCTTCGTCTTGTGCTTGACAAGGTACGGGCTCCATGATGGGGCCGCATACTCCAGGATTGGTCTTACATATGTGGTGTACAAGATTCTGAATGATTCCTTACACAGGTTCCTGAACGCTGTTCTGATGTTAGCCAGCCTCGCATATGCCGCAGACGTTATTCTTTTTATGTGGGCTTCAGGAGACAGGTTTGGTGTGATTTCAGCTCCCAGATCTTTCTCTCTGTCCGTTTCATGAAGGACTTCATCTCCTATTCTGTATCCTGTGTCTGGCCTCCTGTTTCCACTGCCTAGTTTCATTACCTTACATTTACTTGGGTTGAACTTTAGCAGCTTTTTGTTGGACCATTCATGCAGTCTGTCTAGGTCATCTTGTAGTATCATACTGTCTTCCTCCGTCTTAATCCTCCTCATAATATTTGCATCATCAGCAAAAAATGAGAGGAATGATTCTATACCATCTGGAAGATCATTTACAATATATCAGAAACAGTATAGGTCCAAGGACTGACCCCTGCGGGACTCCACTTGTAACGTCTCGCCAATCTGAGACCTCGCCCCTCGCAGGGACTCGCTGCCTTCTATTGCTTAGGTACTCCCTTATCCAATGGAGTACCTTCCCTCTCACTCCAGCCTGCATCTCCAGCTTTCGCACTAGTCTCTGGTGTGGCACTGTGTCAAAGGCTTTCTGGCAATCTAAAAATATGCAGTCTGCCCACCCTTCTCTTTCTTGTCTGATTCTTGTTGCCTGGTCGTAGAATTCAATTAATCCTGTGAGGCAGGACTTGCCATCCCTGAACCCATGTTGGTGCTGTGTTACAAAGTTCTTTCGCTCCAGATGCTCCACTAGCTTTTTTTTCGCACAATCTTCTCCATCATCTTGCATGGTATGCAGGTTAGGGACACTGGCCTGTAGTTCAGTGCCTCCTGTCTATCCCTTTCATGTATATCGGGACTACGTTAGCTGCTTTCCAAATTTCTGGCCGTTCACCTGTTGCCAGTGATTTGTTATACACCATGGAGAGTGGCAGGCACGGTGCTTCTGCTCCTTCCTTTAGTATCCATGGTGACATTCCATCCGGGCCTATAGCCTTTGTCACATCCAACTCTAGCAAAAGCTTCCTTACATCCCCACTGGTAATCTTAAATTCCTCTAGTGGTGCCTGGTTAACTACTCCCTCTCTTATCTCTGGAACTTCTCCTTGCTCTAATGTGAAGACTTCCTGGAATTTCATATTGAGTTCTTCGCACACTTCCTTGTCGTTTGTAGTGAATCCTTCTGCCCCTATCCTTAATTTCATAACCTGTTCCTTTACTGTTGTTTTTCTCCTGATGTGGCTATGCAGCAATTTAGGCTGAGTCTTTGCCTTGCTTGCGATGTCATTTTCATATTGCCCTTCTGCCTCTCTTCTCACCCTGACGTATTCATTCCTGGCATTCTGGTATTCTTCTCTGCTCTCCAGTGTCCTGTTATTCCTATAGTTTCTCCATGCTCTTTTACTTTGCTGCTTAGCTAGCCTACATCTCTGATTATACCATGGATTTCTCATCTGTATTTCAGTTTTTACCTATTGGGCCGGGATAAACTTTTCTGCGGCGTCCTTACATTTCTGCGTGGTGTATTCTATCATGTCTTGGGCCGTCTTTCCCCTTAGCTCTGATTCCCATGTTATATCCGTTAGGAATTTTCTTATCTCCTCGTAATTTCCCTTAGGGAATGCCAGCCTTTTGCTTTCGGTTCCCTTTCTCGAGTACTTTAGCCCTTCTTCGACCAGATACTCAAACGTCAGTATACTATGATCGCTCATTCCTACTGGGGCCTTGAAGTCGGTTTCCCTTATGTCGGAGTCATTCGGAGTGAAGACTAGGTCGAGTCTCGCTGGTTCATCGTTTCCTCTCATCCTTGTGGGTTCCCCGACATGTTGGCTTAGAAAGTATTTTGTCGCCATCTCTGTTAGTTTGGCTCTCCACGTATCCTCTCCTTCATGCGGTTCCTTGTTCTCCCAGTCTATCCTTCCGTGATTGAAGTCCCCCATGATGAGCAGATGGGATCTATTTCTACAGGCAGCAGAGAGTGCCCTCTCAGTTATGTTATTTACTGCCATGTTGTTTCTGTCATTTGGTGGAGGGTTATATATCCCTGCGTGTGTGTGTGTACTCACCTAGTTGTACTTACCTAGTTGTGTGGGTGGGGGTTGAGCTCTGGCTCTTTGGTCCCGCCTCTCAACCGTCAATCAACAGGTGTACAGGTTCCTGAGCCTACTGGGCTCTGTCATATCTACACTTGAAACTGTGTATGGAGTCAGCCTCCACCACATCACTTCCTAATGCATTCCATTTGTCAACCACTCTGACACTAAAAAAGTTCTTTCTAATATCTCTGTGGCTCATTTGGGCACTCATTTTCCACCTGTGTCCCCTTGTGCGTGTTCCCCTTGTGTTAAATAGCCTATCTTTATCTACCCTATCAATTCCCTTCAGAATCTTGAATGTGGTGATCATGTCCCCCCTAACTCTTCTGTCTTCCAGCGAAGTGAGGTTTAATTCCCATAGTCTCTCCTCGTAGCTCATACCTCTCAGCTCGGGTACTAGTCTGGTGGCAAACCTTTGAACCTTTTCGAGTTTAGTCTTATCCTTGACTAGATATGGACTCCATGCTGGGGCTGCATACTCC